GTACAGGTTAGGGGGTCCTGAAGGTTATAGCCTGTGTCGTGTACACGTGAGGGGGTCCTGAAGGTTATGGCCTGTGTCGTGTAAAGGTTTTAAATAACAAATTGGAGGTTATTGTATAATGGACAATCTAGTGACCCTACAGACAGTTTTACATAAACTGAACATTATACATTGTACACAATGCCATAGCATTCAGATACCGGGGAGTACTTCATGGTCTACTATCATTGAGATTTTATTAACTAGTATATATTATACTATCTGGAGGACTATACTAGTGCAAGTTCTACTACCCTTGATCGTCCTATGATAAGGAACTTTTTTCATTATGAGTCATGCCTCAAGTTTAATTTGTAAACAACAATTAACTGGCCAACACCCACTTTTACCTACCTAACATGTACCAATTTACAGGTGAAGTTTTCTTTACCCATTAGCATTGTAATGTATATAGCTGGATGTCTGATGTGTAGTAAAGGGGACATGCTACCACACACATTATATCAATGATTTGTGTTAGCGTTATTTCCCTTAAAAAATCATGAATAAATATGTTGTGTTACTCAAACAACTGTAAAGTTAAAATCAGATTGCTGTTTATAACAGATGTTTGATCCATTTCTTACTTAAAAAATCTTTTTGATAGGAGTTACATTATATTTCATTAAGTTTTATAAAAGATGTTTCACCTATTTCTTACTTTAGAAATCTTTTTTTTTTGTAGGAGATCTATTTCAGTAAGGTAGCATGCACTCTTAAGTTGATAGATGGAGACAAAAAATGCCTGTTCTACTGTAGTTAATTACACAAATCATGGTAATGTGACTGGAAATATTTTAATGATATAACAACTATATATTATGTACATTTCATGTAATTGACAAAAACAAAATGCTGCATCATGTCCCGTGAGAATAATAAAGACAGTGTAATTATCCTGGGATATACATATAGTGATGTTACTTAACTCATTCACCCCTGAAATCACACGGTTGGAATAATTCATTAAGCAATTTCAGGGGTGAATGAGTTAAAATGTAGACACAATTTGTACTGATAGACATTTGTAGATATGATACATTGAACAGAACCACATTGGAATAAATACATGTATAAATATATATATACAAAAACTGCAAAAAGAAATTGCATTTATAGGGCTATGATTGCATTGGGATCTGTTTCATTTTGATGGTTAATTTTCCTCCTGTCCCGCATAATGTTAGACCCTAAGTAAAGAAGCAAACTTTAAGGTGAAATTTGGCTTTTTGAGGGTTATGATGTTTCTATAGGTATTTGTATGTGAATTAAAGGTACTGCAGATTAATTTAGATTATCATTAGTTTAAGTGGAAACATCCATTTAAAAAAATAAATAAATCTTTAAACCATTATCTAATGAGCAAAAACGTAATACCATAAGACATATGACTACTTGTTTAGATCTAGAGCAATGGACCCTTGGGCTCCCAACATTAAGAAAAAATTACCTTGAGCGGAGTAAAACATGCCTCATACCTCCTTTACTAAAATAAATCCTTCATTAAATATATATACATGTAAACTTAAAGCATTGAAGGCAGAAAAGGCATTTTAGTGATATTTGATCCATTAGGACGTCTTCCAAAAACCGAATTTATTTACACATGAGTGATTGATATATCAATATTTATGAATAGTGAAAACTATTGTTTTTAGTTACAGCATATTTTAATGTATTCATAGTAAAATCTATCACACAAAAATAAGTTATCTAAGCTTTTAAGCTCTACCTTGGCAATTCATGACAATTTATATAAGAAATTCAGCAAAAATCATTTTAACATCTACACTATCAACTATGAGATATTAGCACTTATATGACTTTTATTGGCAATAAGAACTTTTGTTTCCCACGCCCATAACTGCCCCCAGTGTTGTAGTCAAGTCTACTTTATATTGTTCCATATTGCAAGAACGTCACATTTTATTTTATTGTAAATACAGCCAGGCTGCTCACATTGGCAGCCCTATCCTGGGTCAGGACTGGGGAATAGTCTAGAAACAACTGCACAGAGATATTTGTTCAACTTTTAATTTATCATTGACTATAATGCTAAAAGTCTTCTCCTTGAAATGTATATATCACAACATAGCTTTGTAATTATATACTCTTTGTTTTTCTATCTAAATCTAAACCAGTCACACATTCTCATATAAACATGCTTTTCCAATCAAAAACTTGAGTTTTCATAGTCTTAACACAAATGGTCATCTTTCTGAAAAAAAGGTTTGTATACTGTATTATATACCTTTGCACAGTTCATTGTAATGAAAAGATGCAACCCTTTTCACTACTATCTGTAATCCATTGTGGAACATTAGATAGAATCCCAGTATCATAGTTTTGTGTTTTCAATAACCTCTGGCAGCTCATCCAGTGTAGGTTGGAAGTTTTCAATGTTTTTATGTGTAATCTTTTTGTCATGATCCTGAAACAATGGGTTTGTAACCTTAGAATCTTCTGGGCGAAGTTCTGGCACATTCTCGTGATACCAGTCCCCGTCATGGCCGTAATCCGGGGCCGGGTCACGTGCTGGGCCCATTTGGAGCTCCTTCGAGCTCAACGTCCACTGACGGTTCATGATGCTGTTTTTATTACGTGACACAATTTCATGTCCTTCTTGCATGGATCCGACCATAAATGGAAATTCTATTTTCATTTCTTTCCCACCTGCGATTTCTATCCTGAACTGTAGAGTATAGGAGACTTCAATGATATCACAATACTCGAGTCTCGTTTCAGGGATATAGGGAGGGATAGACAGACGCACATTTTGCCATCGACGTCCGTCACCACGTAATAGTTCATACTCGTCCCGTCGCTTATTGACAATTTGACGGAAGGGTATAGCACGGTTTTGAGCGTGGTAGAGGGTATTCATGATAATTGAGGTCTGCATCGCAGTAATCCTGGCAGGAGATCTGTTTGCTACCTCAGCGTTTATGAACAGGTCCTCCCCCTGGGTTCCTCCTACCCGGTTTATACTGGCTGAGAGCTTGACTTTCCCACTTGACAGCTTTTTCCATATGCGTTTTTCCAATTTTGCGGAAGCACCATGTCTGAATCGCTCGGGGAGGGGCAGACTGCGGAGGATGAGAAAGGGTTCACTGATGAGTGAGGTGTCACCAGGGCGATCACCATAAGCACTAGCCTTGAACACATACGTAACACTCCCAAACTTACCAATAAAAGAAGAAGGCAGATTGTCAGGTAGTCTGTACTCAAAGTCAAATTGATGGTTGCCTTTTTCTAGCATAATAGGCTCTTTTCCTTGGCTTTCTTCCACAACGTGACTGGCATTGATGTATTCTTCGTTAGCCTTGAACGCCCCATTT